CTCCTCCTGGTCTGGGGACAATGACCCCCACACTCACCATGCTATGGCTTGTGGTCTTCCTTACAGCTCCCTACAGCAGAAACAGGAGAATCCTGGTAAAAACCTGTGAGCTACCTCCAACTGGTGCTTCTGACTGCTAAGCCTTCTAGAGTCCCTCATTAGCTAGGACCACCCAGTTGGGGCTCTAGACATTAGCAGTAACCCTCCTGGGTGAGCAGAGATCAAATTACTCAGACAGCACAGCTCTGCCCCTCTACCCTATGGTCAGCCAAGGCTCTAGTCTGAGAAATTTATAGTTTAGTAGAACCTTCCATTCTCCCAGAGCACTTCCTGTTCCTCTTTCAAGGCACAGGGTCCTTTGTGTTGCACATTCCATTACACACTCAATGTCCCATGCAGCCAACCCTTTGCTTCATAGCTGAGAAGTCCTACAACCAAACACACATCACACTCAAACAGTAACTGTTGTTAAAGCAAAAGAGGCCATGGATTAGAAAACAAGGGTCTATGGGAGGGCTTGGATGCAGGAAAGAGACAGTGGAATTGATACAGTTATAATCCAAAAAAATATGATTAAAAACTTAAAATAGGCTTTATGGCCATGGCTCCATAGACTATCAATTTGTATTAGATCACACCAAGTACTACTCACACCACTGTTCTCAGGTTGTACATCTTAAACCTTGAAAACACAGTCATGTCAGTCAGGGCCAGTTCTTCCATTTTGGTGGAACTAATGTAACTACAGTAATTTGTTTTCATGAATGTTTGGTTATTTATCCAGATTCCTGATTGCCTGGTCTTTGAACCCAAGACATGGCCAGTTAGGACAATTATCAATCATCTAAAGTTGATTACCTCACTACTCATTGCTAATGTCAACTACTGTCAAAGCAGGAAAGAGGGTATCTTTCTTGCCCCTCCCTTTCTGTTCTGTGACTATACCTGATTTAGAGTCAGTGAACTCAATCTGTACTCAGGTCCCTCTTCATTTGTAAGTTCCCAATAAAATCTAGAGAAGTTGGGGGACACTCACTCACTGGTCTATTTTTCCTTCTCACAGACCAGTCAAAGTCCAGCCTGGAAGGAGTGGCAGGACTCTCTTCCCATCCCTGGGCAGCAGAGGCAGGATTAGGGGTTCAAAGCAATTCTCAATTACATCCTATAAGGCAACTCTGAACTACAGGTGACTGCTGAGGGCTGCAGGAATATATCAGCTTAAATGTGCCAATTAAGCCTTACTTCCTCCTTTCCCAAACTTTACCTCTGGTTCCAGATCTCCCTTTAACTATCACCAGAGGCATCTAGCTGTACACAGCTGGTTATGGCAGAGTCACTGCCTGGAAGGATCAGGGAATTCCTCCAGAGGAAGCCAAATTCCAAGGAGCTTTTGGTGTTACTTGGCTTGTTATATATCAGCTGTCTTCTGTTATGAAAATCATGTGTGCCTTCATAGTTTTCCCAATTGACTTTTCCCTAAGAAAGGCTAACAGTGTGGACTGATCACTCTCTGGACATACACATTCCAGGTATTTGGAGAACAGCCTCAGGAAAGGCTTTTTCTGGAATCAGATATCCCCCCTAGCCACTTTCAAGGACTAGCAGTAATAACAGTCCACATGAAAGTCTCCTGATTTAAGGTAAATTCCACAAGGAGACACCGCCTAGGTCAGGTGGATGTTAAGTAATAGCTTTACACAATTTAGCTCAGACCCTCCTTTCTTACAGCCTTACTAACTTTATAGACCTCTAACTCCTTACCTAACCACTTCTAGGAATATTTAGATAACTTTCTGTGCTGACAGCTATGCACAGCCAGAACCCCAGTTCAAGCCTCCCTGTAATTATCATTATTGGCAGCATCCGGCCAGATCCATCACCAGATGGAGCAAAGTACCTTATCAGAGATACCGCTGTACTCTCTAAGAACAGACTTAAGCATCCAGACTACCTATTTGAGAAGGCCTGGCGGATGTGCTAATTAAACTTTACTTCCTCCTTTCCCAAATCTTACCTCCAGTTCCAGATTTCTCTTTAACTATCACCAGAGGCATCTAGCTATACACAGGTAGCCTAGTGACTGAGCACACTTTCCCCCACCCTGCAGAAAAACGGCAGATAGCTTGGACAGATAGGAGCCACCGGAAAAAAAGAAGGCAGTTTTATTTTCTCCCATTGACCTAGCAACTTATAGATTCTTAACATTTTCTACCCATCATGTTTGAGGTTATAGTTGAGCACTTAAGATCCCTCTTCTTAGATATTACCCGAATTTAGCCTTTAGTTAATTCATTCCCCATTCATCACTTCCCTTGGGGTTGCAAATGATAATTAACAATTACTGCCCCTCTATGTGATTCTTATCACCCCTCTGTTTGACCCTGGTAGCCTGGCTTTGAACTGCTAAGGGAATACTGCTTGTAAGTGTATTTATACCAGGACTTCCAGGGCATGGGACGGAGAAGAGAAAAGAGAATGGAAGAACTAGATGGGTAAGAACTTGAGAGGAACAAACTGAGATGGGGAAGAACTAGATTGAAGGGCTAGAAGAGAGTACTAGAGGAATGAGATGGAAGATGAGGAAGAGACAGATGAGTAAGCTAGCTGAGTAAGAACGAGCTGAAAAGGACCTAGATGAGGCAGAATTAAGATGAGAGAATTAAGATAGAACTTAGAGGGAGCAATGGATAAGTATAGAGAGGAATCAGGCAAGAAAGGAGCTAGGCACGAGAACAGAACTGAAGCTGTGTATGAAGGATGTTATGCCAGAGGAATTAAAGCAAGTGGACTATAGAGGTTGGTGTACTGAGATTCTATTTCCCGAAAATAGTCCTTGTCATTAGTAGTTCTCTCTCCTGAGCCCCTGGGATGTATAATATTAAGGCTGGTCCCTCTAATATTATACAAGAGGTGACATTGATCTAAATCAGTGGTTCTCAACCTTCCTAATGCTGTGACCCTTTAATACAGTTCCTCATGTTGTGGTGAACACCTCTCAATGGTAAAATTATCTTCACTGCTACTTCATAACCGTAATTTTGCTACTGTTATGAACTGTAATATAAATATCTATGTTTTTCGATGGTTTAAGGCCACTTCTGTGATAGGGTCATTTGATCCCCCAAAGGGACCACCACCCACCAGGTTGAGAACCACTGCTTTAAACTGATATCAGTAAATAAATAAATAGGAGTTAGGAAAAAAACAAAATGAAATTCTTAAAGACTGGGAAATATTGGAAAATAGAAACAAATAAGCTGGGTGTTGGTGGCACACGCCTTTGATCCCAGCCCTTGGGAGGCAAAGCCAGGCAGATCTCTGTGAATTCAAGGCCAGCCTGGTCTACAGTGAGCTCCAGGACAGGGACCAAAACTACACAGAAAAACCCTGTCTCAAAAAAACCAAACAAACAAACAAACAAACAAACAAACAAACAGAGATTATAGCAGTAATGCATTTAAGAAAATGAAATTTTAAAAATGATATCAACAGCTGATACCAACAGCTGTTGGGAGTGCTATAAACTGACACAGATTTACAGCCAATGGCCTGGGTCTCAAACCTCTGAGATGACTTAACTGTGTCAACCAGGACTGCACATATCTGCATAGGAGAGTTCCCTAAGTGGAAATTGAGTACTCGGTGGTTCAAGCTATGCTCCCTAAATTGTACACCCATGAACTGTTTGTCTTCATTCACATGGAAGGAATTAATAAACACTGGGAAATTACACAGAAAGTCACTCACCCTGCCCCATCAGGCCCTTCTTTATAATGGAGACCCCTGCAGCTCACTGCCTTAAACTTCAGTCTGTGATCTCGCTATTGTCTAGTCTGTTTCCCCTGCAGTGTGCACAGTACATTGTTCCTCCTCTTCTGGTCTAAAGGGAGAAGCCATGCGCTACACATAAATCCTCTTCCTGTCGCTGCAATGGACAGTCCACTATGTGACTCAAACTGGTAATTTTAGAACTCTGTGGCCTGTAAACCAAGAATTTAGGGTTGTTAGTCAGGAGGACAGCAAGGGCAATGCCCTGTGGGACTACAGACAGGGTTCAAGTCCACCTCAATCTTACACTGGAGAACTTTTACTCAAAACCACTTTTCAAAAAGAACGGAGATGCAGCTGTTCTATATCTTTATGGCACACCAGTACTTAATGTTGGTCCCCTGAGCAGCAAGGCCTGTTCTTCGCTGGGGGGAGGGGAGGGTGGGGGGGAATTGGCTGGTTATAATTTAGGGCTGTCTCCTTTGTTATGGGAATTGTAGCTTAACACCCAGTTAGTCCTGATAAACAAACATATACATTTTATCACATTAATCTGTAACAGGCATGGTTTCCATATCAGTTATCTTTGGAGTACTTGGGAGGCAGCCCTCCCTTTGCTAAATTCTACTTTGTGTGACTTAATGTCTCCTAAGAATTGGTAAATCCTTATACCATTAATTCAATTCCATCAATTCTACTTGTTTTTTGTTTTGTTTTTGGAGGGGGGGGGGTTCGGGGTGGGGAGGTTCGAGACAGAGTTTCTCTGTGTAGCTTTTGGAGCCTGTCCTGGAACTCACAGAGAGGCACCTTCCTCTGCCTCCCGAGTGCTGGGATTAACCACAGCCCAGCCTAATTCTACTTTTCTACATCACAGTTTAGCAGTGATTAACTCTGGATGGATCCTAAACCTAAATGTTACATGTTAAAAGTGCAGAACTTCTGGAAGATACTAGAGAGACCAGGGCTCTCCGAGTCTGGCAAATCTGCTTTCCATAGTGGCAATATAAGCACCACAGATGCCAGTATTTCACAGTGATGTCCACAATAAGGGTAGTCCTAAGCACAGTCCCGCTCCCAATACCCTGCACAGACACAGCCCATAGAGTGAAGTTATTCACAGGTTGCCGCGCTGGCCCTGGGAGTTACACGGACCACGCAGGACGGAGCAGAACTACACCAGGACCTCCCACTCAGCCATGGGAAGTCCTACTACATTGGCTCACACGGCTCACCCGGCTCAGCCGACTGGTCCTCCCAGTCTGGGGACAGCAGCCCCTCGCTCACCATGGCCGACCACTCCTCCCAGCCTGAGACAGCAGCCCCTCGCTCACCACTAAGCCGACTCTGTGATCAACCGCACTTCGTCCCACAACGGAGATCAGCAGAGGAAATAAGCCTAGTGCCCGGAAGAACCCTCCCATCTGACTAGCAGGTCAACTGGAGGCTCTGATTGGTTAGTGAGGCCTGAGTGACAGGACCTGGTGAGCTGAAAGGCTACAGCAGGGATTCCCAGTCTCTAGCTTCCACCTGAAGCTCAGACCTATGCCAGATTTACTGGAGATTTGTGGCAAATTCATCAGTAAATATCTCATTAATGTAAACCAAGGCATTCAGTTTTAAAAGGAAATATACAAATTCAGAAGGAGGCTAATCTTAAGACAGTGTTGCATAAGAGGAACATAGGGTATCTCAAGAGCATTTTAATCAAAGTCCACAGTAGTATTAGGACTGATAGCCAGAGCTCCATGTGTGGAAAAAGTTGGGTTCTCAGGACCTGAAGCAATCCCTTCCCAAGAACTGACCCCAGAACTTTACCAGCTCTCCCAAGCATGTTCCTGGTTTTAGAGAATGAGCTCCGCTTTTTGCTCTATACATCAGGGCCTTAGAGAAACCTCCCAAGGCCTAGGTAGGTTGCCAAACAGAGTTATGTCTGGCTATTTAAATAGTATACAGTAGTTAAAAGGACCAAACTGTTGTAAAACTGATCTTCCGGGTGTTTGATAATCATTCTCGGAGCCTATTCTAATGTGCTTAGAGAGGATAAAAGAAATATTTCTCCCCTTTCCCTACAAGGTCAATGAGGTCCCTGGAAACTAAGGCCATTGATCATTTGTTGTCTTGTTCACAGAGGTCATGGAGACCCCACTCAATAAATTTGAAATATAGTCCAGTCTACAAAAAGGAGGGTCAATGTGGTGAAGATTTTCTCAAGTCTTCAAAAGAAGCCACAGTACATAAAGAAAAGTCTTTGACTCATCCTCACATTGATGGACAACTGGTAAAAGAAAGACTAGAAGAGTCTGAGGTTCCTCTAAAGCCCAAGTGAACCCTGAGGACTAGTTGCTCAACTGGCCTTGATAGCACAGAAAGAGAGATTAATTTTGGCCACCTTTATGGGCCTCAGCATTCAGAAGAAAAATTTAACCAAAGACTAAGAGAATTGGTAACAACCCAAGGGACTGCACTCCACGGACACTAGATGTGAGTCTACATGAGATGTTTATTTAGACAACCAATCTCACTAATATTTTCTTCTTCATAAAAAAAAAAAAAAAAACTATGTAGATGTGAGATGTCAGACTTTGGCTCCCTGAGCACCTGCACACAACCAAGAAAGACAGACCCATGATTGTTTTATCCCCCAATTAAATAATCCCTAAATACCACTTCTCTCTCTATCCAGAAGCCACATGGGAAGAGCATCATGCTGACTTTTGGCTGCTGAAACAGCCTTGAAAGGGTGTGAAAGCTTACTGTGGATTCATCATTCCAGAGACCAACTGTAGAGGTTAAAGAGAAACATCTAATAAACGGGGGCTACTGTGAGCCCATCAAGAATGTCTTATGGACTTTGGACATTTTAGTCCTTTCCAGACACCAGTAAAGAAATTCCTTTCCTGTCTATATCTGAGAGATTGGTCTTTATGAGAGGTCCTCTGGAATGGTAGCCCAATATTGCCACATGATATCCCAAATTCAGCTGGAAGAAGCTAAATCATTCATTGCCCCAATCCCATAATGGCAGTTAGGGTTACCTTTTCAAAAGGAGGTGGGATAAGAACTGGAGGTAGAATTGATGAGGCAGTTTAGGATAAAAAGACCCCAAAGAAAAGTAACCCATTGCTTTCTTGACTAAAAGCTAGAAGTAACACTAGGACTCTTAGCAGTTTCATCCTTGCCAGAGGCCAAAGATGACAAAACAGTTTTGGGAGCTCTGTTCTCTGATGCTAAGTGATTCTGGGGGACTTAGGAAGGCAGAAAGTTAAAAGTAGTAAAGAAGGCCTGTTAAGAGAAAAAGACCTGTGGTCAAGAGAATCAAATCTCTGTTCTGGATGCACATCTAACTATTCAATGGGGACAGGTCAATCTCCTGGCCAAGGAACCTGGTCTGGGGAGCCCAAGAAATGTCTGCTCAGGACTTTTATAGATCACCTATAATTGACTAACTGATTGCACATTAGTAATCCCAACTGCACTTAAAACTGGTAAGTTTTCAAGTTCCTTCCTGCTCCTCCCTTTCCGTACAGTGACCATAACTGCTTATAATGTGTGGACAATGAATTCCTATTCTTACACAAATGCCTCTACATCACCACTACCTAATAAAAGCTTGGGCTGCATTAGGACACTCCTTCCCCGTCTCTTTTTCCTTCTTACTGACTAGTCAAGGCTCAGCCTGGAATGACTGACACACTTGGGCTTGGAGACAGGAAAGAGATGGTGGAAATGGTATAATTATAATTCCCCAAGTTATGTTAAGTTTAAATAGGCTTTATGTCTATGTGCTCCAGAGACTAGGAATTTGCATGAGAGTACACCAAGGGTTACTCACACATTTTCTCTCAGGCTGAACATTTTAAACCTGGAAAATAACAGTTCCATTAGGCAGTGCCACACATTTTACCCAGCTCTTCTATTTTGCTTGAACTAGAGTAACTACTGTAATTTGGTTTCAGGAAATTGACACATGAATATTGTCTTTTTCTTGCTATGTTAAAAAGAATCACAGGGTGGTACACATGGCGCTGGCCTTATGTGCTACTATCAAACCTCCTCAGATTGCTCTAAAGTCACTCTGTTGACCTCTACCATCATTCATTATTTCCATCCTATGACTCTGGCCTCATTCTGTCCTTGTTTCCAGGATCTGGAATGCAGAGTTGGCTATTTGGAGGTATTTCTTCTGCAGAATTCCTTGTGAAGACATCATTTATGTATTATTCTCATTCTAGAAAAAACAAAACCTTTTTTGTGTATTTTTTGACATTTTTAATTTTGCATTTGTATTTCTAAATTGAGTAAATCATTATTAATTCAGATCCTACTGATATTTTTAGTATTATTTCACAGATTCTATATTCTTTTTTCTTTTTTTTTCCTAGAAAGTTGGTTGGAAAATGTTTCATTTATATAATATTCTATCTGGAAGATGCTGATTCCTTGGAGTCATCTATTACCTCTGGTTCTTACAATCTTTGTACCTCTGGTTCTATAGAAGTACTAGCCTTAAGGGGAAGGTTTTAAACAAGTCATCCCATTTAAAACTGGGTTCACACTTACTCTTTATTTTGCTCCAGTTTGGGGTCTCTGTGTTAGTTTTCATCTCCTGTGAGAAGATGCTTCTCTAATGAGAGCTGATTGAAACACAGGTCTATGGGTATGACACTCATTATGTCCCTTTGCTACTTCAGTAGGATAATAGTATTGGGTTTCCCCCAGGCTCATGCCTTATCTATTCTCAGGATCTTGGCTGCTTTATCAGTGTCAGGTATGGGTTCCATCTCATGGAGTGGTCTTTAAATACAATCAACAGTGACCAGTCACTTCCATAACCTTTGTACCACTATTACACCAGAATCTCTGACAGGCAAGTCTCTATTTTAGGGTGCAGTATTTATAGTGATATATATAATATATATCACTAATATAGTGATATTAGTGTTTACCTTTCTGTTCTGGTGGGCATGCATGGTACCTTGCACATCATAAATACTAGTGAGTAGGACTGAAGCTTCTAGTTAGGCACCAGTTCAACTTTTCCCACTTTTTGATTTTTGTTTTCTTAATAGTTAATAGTTTAGTTTTTTTTATATTCTAGATATTATCCCTCCCTTTCATACGGAGTTAGTGAGTTTTTTTTTTTTACCCACACTTGAGGACTCCTTTTCACTCAAATGATGGTGTTCTTTGTTGTATATAAACTTTTTAGTTTCATGAGGTCTGATTTATTAATTTTTGTTTTTAATGTCTGTACTTTTAGGGTCCTGTTCAGAAAGTCCTTTTCTGCTTGAATGAGGTCAAGCCAATTCCTACTTTCTCTTCTGTCAGATTCATGGTATCAAGTCTTAGGTTCTGGCCCTTGATGAAGGTGAAGTTGACTTTTGTGCTTGGTCTGGGTAAAGGATTGAGTTTCATTCTTTTACATGTAGCTAATGGATTGATCAGTATCATTTGTTGAATTGCTATCAATTCTCTGTGGTATACTCTGGACTTCTTTGTTAAATGACACATGGGTCTATAAGTATAAATTTATGTATAGGTGCTTAATTATATTTCATTAATCAATGAATCTTTTTTCATTGAATATCACACTTTTTTTTCATTCCTATAGCTCTATAGTACAACTGGAAATGTGTGATTATAATACTTCAAGCAGTATTATTGTTGTTTATGATTGCTTTGACTAATCTGGTTCTTTTGTATTTACATATAAAATTTAAGATCAGTTCATCAATTTCGGTAAAGAATTGTGTTGGAATTGTTAAGGGGTTTCATTGAGTCTCTAGATTAATTTTTTGGAATGGCCATCTTCATCATATTATCCCTGCCAATCCAAGAGTATAGGGGTCTTTCCAGTTTATTGTATCTTCTTCTTTTTTGTTTCATGAAGCTTAGAGTTTTCATTGTACAAGTCATTCAATTCCTTGGAGATATATATATATCTATAGATATATAGATATATAGATATAGGTTTTTTCAAGACAGGATTTCTCTGTGTTGTTTTTGTGCCTGTCCTAGATCTCATTCTGTAGACCAGGCTGGTCTCAGACTTACAGAGATCCACCTGGCTCTGCCTCCCAAGAACTGGGATTAAATGTGCCACCACTGCCCAGCTTTCTTGGTTATATTTAATTTAAGATATTTATGAGAATTATTAATGTTCAGAAGATTCCTTTGAGAAAAAGTAATTGGATGGGAGGAAGATAGTTGTATTGAATACAGATATCACTTTGTGCTGCTTATGCAGATAAACTACATGTTTGTAAGAGTATCAGTTGGTTATTCAAGTGTTAGAAAATCTTGGGTACCAAAGACATTATTGACAATTTCATGGGTGAAT